GACCAAAAAAAAGGACATGAAAAAGTGTTCATCATAACCCTTGATGGTTGCTTTATCTGTACTGTAGCTGTGGTAGGCTCTTTGGAAACATGAGGCTCTGAAAGTATAAAGGAGACAGGATTTGTAGGGAAAAGTAGTATCTTTTATTATATCATCCAATAGTCAGGAAGAAGAGTCAAGCCTTGGGCATACAAATCCTCCTCGAAAACTTGTCTGACTTTTTCAATTATGTTGATATTAACTCTACCTGCAAATCCCACTTTACTTTGGCTACTTCCAGCCACCATGAATGTAGGCTCTACAGGTAACCAGGACTCAACATTTGAGAGGGTTTTCCTTTCCTTCTCCATCCCTCTGCTATTTGCTGCTGGCCAAAGTAAAAATAATCATTGTATTTGTCACACACTGCTTCATTTACTTACTAAATTATACCTGTTTACTACTTTCAGACTTATCCAGAACCACGTGGCAAAGCTGGGAGCACCAAGAGACAAACCCTAACTCATTATTATAGACCTTTGCTTTAATCACCTGGAAATTTCTCCCTTTCAGATAAAAAAAGCATTAGAAAATCATGCTGATAATAATGAAGAACTCTTTAATATCCTCACGGTTAAAATCCATGTCTTGCATGCAGCTCCACAAATATATCTTTAGATTCACTACTGGGAAAGTATCAGAGCCACAGTAATTTCTATACAGAGGAAAGAAACTAGGAGACACTTTTCTTCTTATGTGGATGGATTATTTTGTTTTGTTCTTAATGATTTCAAAACCTTAAAGAGCCGATGATGAGTTTGCTAAACTCCTTCCAGGAATTACCTGAACTCCAATTATTTTTCGGAAGAAGACACAATAACACACCAAATGAAAATGCTTCTCTTCTGTTCAGTTGAATTGAAAACTGAAAATGCTTTATGGTTAATAAATGGTTAATATTTTGCCCTAAAAAAATATAGATATTGGGAAAACTGGACAAGTTGAAAGAAGTTGAACTGCTTTAAACTCCAAGCACTGAAATACAATATTTTTCTTCATTTATTCTACAGAAATATGTATTCTAAGTTTTCATACAAATTTAAGTATTGTTTTAGTCAAATCAAATGAGTTTTTTTTGAGAAAGAAAAGTCTACCCATTCTGCAACTAAAATATATGGGATATTTTATCCATGTAATCGTTTCTCTCCAGTGGCAATCTGCCAAAGAGTGACGCTAGGCTACAGGCAAAAAGATCCCACAGAACTGAAGGGCTCTGCAGCAACAGGGCAGAGTCCTGAAAACTGAAAAATCTTATTTTCTGTGTCCAAAAGTTACAGGAGGATATGTCTTCTGTAATATTTGTTAAAAAAAAGAAGAAAATGTCATTGCCTTTACATCTGCAGAGAAAACACTCTTTTTCATGGTAGCCTCTTTGTGAGCCTTGCTTTGCAAAGCTTGAGGCAGAGATGTATAGCGGCAACTATTTTTAGATCGCAAACTCTCATGGATTTTAAAAGGGCTTTTGCATATGGAAAGTAAAAAAAAGAAATGCAAAGTATTTCAGGAGAAGGATAAAATGATTCATATTATACAGCAGAAGGGAGGGGTTGGTGCTTTTATATTCTGCTGGCAGAGTTGCTAGTGGGAGCCTCAGTGACTGTGGGGAGGGCATGGTGCACACTGCCATCGCCCCAGAGGGTCCCCTGCCAGCCTCATCCAGCAGCTCTGGACTAGCTCTCCCAAGGATGGGAAGAGAAACCACTATGTAAAAAAATTCCTGCCCTTTCAATGGCTCGATGGAGACAGTATGGCAACCTTCACACTCATCTAGCCGCTGCCTTGGTTCCTTTCCACCACGCTCATTGCCTTCCCTGGCCCAGCTGATGGCCTGCACGAGATAGATGAACATGCAGGGAAGAAAGTTTGTGCTCTGAGATGAGTTTGATGTGATAGATGGTGGCAGACAACACTGACACTCTGCAGAGAGCTTTCTGTTTGCCTCCTGAGGCATGCAACATCTTGATGAGCAAAAAACAAAAAAAGGCACAGGACCACAAGCTCCTGTTTACATGTAGAGCCGGGCATCTCAAGTCACAGAAAAATTTCTGCCAGCTTTTTTGGTAGTAGAAGCTCACAGGAGCAAAATGAACACTAGAGACAAAAATAATTAGACATTGTCTTTAGTTATTTTTTATTAACTTTGCTCAGTGGTGGCTGTGTGACTGCCTGAGAATTTCTGTTCTACCATGTGGCAAAATCTGAGGGACCTTCTGTGGCTCTCAACACTTCTGCAAACACATGGGTCACTTCAGATCTATTTGGATATGTCACCAGAAAGCAGCAGATGTATCTGATGACGATTTTATTTTGGCAGATGAAGTCCTACCTTATTGCACATCTTCTATGTCTGTCTGCTTCCTTTGACACACTGCTAACAAGGAGTTTTGTGATTCCTGGGGGTGTAAAATAACTATGATTATGTATGTTTATCACTTTTAAGTGAGGATGAAGGGTAAGTGTGATGACCCAGGTAAATACTTGCTGCTTAACCTAGCTTAATCCTAGCAAAATACAGGCAATCACGAGATTCAAATGACAAAGAACTAAAGAATATGAATATAATTAATGCCAGCCAAAATGGTCTTATGGAAAGTAGATCTTGCCAGACTAACCTGATTGCCATTCTTTGATAAGCATATAGATTTGCCTGAAAAAGCTGGGCTGAACAGTATAAGATACCTAGACTCCTGAATGGCATGTTACTTACTACCGTGAGTTAGTTGATTGCAACAGCAGCAACACTCAACACCAGCAGATCAAACCCTATCTATTAGGAACCTGCTATTGACATCTTGAATATTTGCCATTCCAGGAATCATCATTAATAGACATGTTTCTAGAAAGGCCCAACAAGGACTAACAACATCTTCAAAACCATTCAACATTCCTAACCAGTACCACAAAATTGATTTAAAAACAATTTGAAAGATTCTGGATGATACGGAAATGGACAAATCAGCGAACAGTGGGCAAGTGGGACAGTCAGAGCAATCTGGAACACTCAGTACATGAACACAGACAAATACAAAGTGTGTACTTTTAGGAAGAAATGTGCACAGAATGAGAAGCTCAGCTGCACAACCCACCAGGGAAACCATGGGTGCAAGTGAAGAGTTCTATTCACCTTTGATCAGGCTCATAGGAACGTATTGCATGCATTTCCAGTGCCCAGATTTTAAAGAAATTAGCAGAAGGGTAGGAAAAAAACTGCTAAGAAGGGTTCAAGTAATTTGAGGAGTTTCAAACAGTACTGTTTGCTTTGTTTATTTAAAATGGAAATTAAGTCAGCTTTCAGTCTGTAAGTACCTTCAATCAAAAGAAGTACCAAGACCTATAGAGCACTTCATTTAGGGCAGCAAAGCATAAAAGTCAATGGCTAAAAGCTGATTTCAGGTAGTCAGGCAGAAAACAAGGCAGATATTTTCACCAGTGTAATTAAGCACTGGAACCAAGTGTCAGATACAGCCACTGCTTACCAGAAACTGGAGGCCTTCTGAGATACTACTTGAATCAAATACAAATTATGCATTAGTGAAAGTAAAAAAATTACTGTGTTCAGTACAGGGGACTGAATGAAAGCTGTCAGTCAGATTACAAACCCTACAGGATCATTTCTAGTCTTACACACCTGAAGGTAGGACTCCACAGGAGCTGAAGTCCACACAATTCCCTTTGTCATGCAATACCAGATGATGTACTAACCACTGCTGCAACCAGTACATACCAGTACATGAGTTGTGGTAATTCTAAATTTTGGGAGAAGTGAGAGAGTTACTCTAAATTTTGCATTTTCTTTGCACTGAACAATACTGCTTATGGGATTTGCCAGTATCCCTACAGACCAATGCACAAAAGAAAAACATGATGTGATATAAATAATGCATAGTACATCACTGATACCTGGGGAGAAGAATTATGAAGACTACTGCTTGCATTTTGCTCAGATTTTGCAACTGCCTCTATATGTTGGGGCAGTAGTTGGTTACTGCCTTCTTCCTTTCTGCATAGTTAGCATCTTTGCAGCTCATGCTGTACTAGACATGCTTTTCTGCCATTCAGAGATCAGTTTCATTAGCTTTTCATGGACTACCCTAAGCACCTCAAATTCAGGTAAAAAAGATGCTGTTCCTTAGTGTTCATACACGTCAAAAGCATGTTGTATGCTTCTTTCTTTGCTAAATTCCAATTTGCTTTTAGTATTATTATTTGAGGTGTATTTTTGCCTGTGCTGAAAGTTTAGAAAATACAGGTCCAAGATACCTGGTCCTTATCCCATACCACTCTTCAAGTATCTTGGCTCACCGGAACAGTGACAGGTCCTAGGTTTAAAGAGCAAAAGAAGCTTTTCACAGAAGGGGTTTCTATTTGATTTCTTTCTCTCTCCCAGTGGCTTCTAGGTATTGCTGAACTGGAAAGTTGTTGTTAGTTTTTGTTGTTGTTGTTGGGTTTTTTTCAGATTTCTTTGAAGATGAATGGGAGGAGACATAGTAATGCTTCTCACTGAGCTAGCAGCAATTTAAGAGAAACTGTTCAAAGTAAAGATGAAAATTATTTCAGGTAAAACTATGGATGTAACTTTGAACAGTAACCAAAAAAAGGTGCGCCAAAAGGGAATTAGGTTTATAAGTTGCAATGTCAATTAAAGAACAAGACAGTTAAATAGTTATGAAAGTTATGAATGTTCGAAATTACTAGGACAAACCACCACTGATTTGGAATTTGGGATTACAAGTGCATCCCCACCTGAACACACTTTACTAGTGTAGGACTCAATATTCACAGAGCTAAGTATCAGCAGGTAATTTTTCACTGGGCACAGCTATAGGAATTTTGGCTGGAGACAAATTCCAGTGTTTGATTATTATGATTGCAACTTTTAAAAATTACTAAAACTTGAAATAAACTATTACTCACATTATTTTTATCTCTGAATTTATCACATTACATGGCAGATTATTTACCTGGAATGCTCTCCAACTTTCTACGAAGCTCTTCATTTTCTTGTTGCAATGAAATTACCTCCTGCTCTAGCTCTTGACACCGAGGGCAGTAACCTTCTTCCTCTTCCTCCTCTTCCTCCTCTGGAAGTGTAGAAGATGATGGATGACCATGAGATTCCGATGTTGCTGGAGATGTCCATCCACCTAAAGTGTGTACTGGAGAGGCTGAAAGTGGATCCACATCTGCCAAATGGCTAAAATCATTTATTGATGAGGTGTTCTGAGAAGGGAAGCTCCCAGAAAGTAAATAGTTCTGAAGGGAATCAGTAAAAACTCTCAGAAAGGCTGAGGTTTGTTGTTTCTTTTGCATATACTGCATCTCTATGTCTAAAATGTCTGATGTCTGACTATGGACCATTTTCCCAAGCTGACATTGCTCTTGTCTTTCACTATAATTTGGGTTTTCCTGCTTTATACAAGAAATCATGGACTGAGAGTGATTGTTGTCCAGTAGTTTTCCACCACAATTTAAGAGACTTAGAACCCGGCTGCATTGTTGAGCAAAGGCATCCAGAATCATTCGACTCTCTGCAACAGAAGAAAAGATGAATCACAGAAACCTAATGCAAGAGGTTAAGCCAGGCAGTAGCAGCTAGATGAATGTACACAACTGTTTACAGTAGCATGCATTTTATTCTTGAACATATTCAAATAATAGCTTCTGCTTTAGTTCTTCTGCAACACTGTGATTTAAAACAATCCTGACTCTGTTTCTATTTTGAGAGTGCCCTTGTGCCCTTGCTGTTAATCAGAAATGCATTGTGATGATAGACACTGCTTACTGACATCTTCTTTCAGAGGGATTAAGTCATGAAAATGGGGAAGAAAATTCAAATTGCATCCAATTTGCTACAAGTTCAAGTAAGTACTGACCTCAAAGCCTATTTCAAGCTGCTGAAGGGCATTATCTGTATATATTTGTAGGACTTTGCACTATACCTTTGTCCTATGCCCAGTTCCTTTCCAGCAAGGCTTGTTATTTCTCCTTTTTGTCTTTGATGCACTTGTTTGACATTGGGCACAGGACACTCCACACAACTGACCCTCAGTTCTATGGACTTTGCTTCTGTTCCTTTTGCTCTAGGTTCCAGATATGTCCAGGAACTACTCAGAGTGATAAGCACAAACCCCTCTTCTAAAATCAAGCAAAGACATCCTACAGGTTTGCAGGCAGGCCAGTATGGCACAGTGGAGAGTGGAGTTCTTCAAGATGCTCTGCATACAATCAGGAAACTCTACATGGGATTGTGCAACAGTTTCTGCAGACAGCAGCTCAGCTCTGGAAGTAGGATAGGGATGCCGTGCTGCACCTACTCAGCTTTGCCTCTCATGACAGGAGGTGTCATGTCTCAGGGAGCAATAGCAGATACAAGCTAAATCTACAGAGTAGGATGGCTCATTTCTGCAATCTCTACATGTGTAGCTGAAGCTGCTATAATACCTCCTGGACCCTGACAGAAAATGACCAAGGTATTTATGATATGACCTGTTAGGCTCCCCAGTAAAAACAGTGCCTTTTAAATTTTTTTTTCACCTCATTCAAAGCTAAGTTCCTCTAGGTATCTAAACAGATGTAACTAACATTTTGCAAAAGAAAAAAAGACTGGTAGGTTAAAGCACTGCCAATTTTGGAGAGCACTTCTCAGGCAGGCTTGACTTTTAGAAAGTGACAAACGCATTTACTTTTGAAAAGGCAACCTGCTACAGATACATGAGACTAAGCACCCCAGACCTTCATTTACCATAACTTCATTGGTAGCCTCATCACACTCATAATACATAAAGAACAGAAATGTTCAGAATTCAGGCCTTTAAGGGGTGGCACTTTCATGGCACTTCTTCAAGATCCTCCACTGTCTAGTAGAAAATCTACTTTACACTGAGGTCAGTACAGCTGACCTGAAGAATATTTGAAACAACACTAACTTGCATTTGTACCATCCTCCGGATCTCTGTGAAGAGGGCAGGGCTGAAGCAGCATACAAATACTTCCAGCCTTGAACGCAGCCAGAGGAGACCTCCCCAGCACAAAACCCTGATGTGATCTGCTGAGGACTTAACTGAAAAAACAGGAACCTGAGGTGGGCAGAGCAAGCCCAAGCCCAGTGCTGGGTCATGAGGCTACCTGGGGCCATGCAGGGATTGCCCAAGGGCTCCATGGGAAGGACTGGAGCGGTCCTAGGACCACTGCAAGCATCCTCGCCATCAGCCTCCTGCGTTTATGAGCCATATCACACTCCTGGAGACCGGTTCAGACTAATGAGGGCAGATTTCTACACACATCTTTGATCCAAAGCATTATGCAGTACCCTCTGTCCACACTATGAACTCCAAAGGGCAGAAATGCTTTGGTACCCAAGTGGGAGCCAATGAGGTGCCAAGTCCATTACCCACTGCCTCGACTCCTCTTTTTCTACACCAACCTAAAGCTTTAACCCTTAAAATTAATGCAACTGCAAAACAAGACAGGAGATGTAATATGAATTAAAAGAACAGAATCCTGGTGACATGGAAGCTTTCCAGCTGAGACCTGATAAACCAAAAGGAAACTAGGAAATTCACGCATCACTAACAACCCCAAAATGTGCTTTCTTTGTCTCACTTCTTCCCACATTTCCCCTTTAAAATTATTACAGGATGATATTGACTGTAACTTTGTAATCCTACTACAGAGTGTTTTTTCATTCATTTTAATCCTATAATCTGATTCCAGACCTGAAGTCATCTATACTGTTTGTATTTTAATCATTATTGTCTCTGTTCACAAAACGGTTACGTATTTTTTGCATATCCTTGTTGCATGGGGACAAGATATGAATGAAACAACTGAAAAGGGATTAGACTCTTATAAGAGATGTTACTCCAACATTTATTCTAAAACCAGCAAAAAGTAACCTGACATTCAAATTACTAGTTTTGAAGAATACCAAAATACATATTAACATCAGTAAAGATGAAATTAATTATTAGTTTAGTTTTAAAATTTTATGCATTAGGTATAGTCACTGTGATAATGGTTTAAAATGTAACTGAAATTTTATACAGAAATTACATTATTGATTTAATCTTCAGTATCAGATCTATTACAAGGGCACAATAACAGCAATTACTGTTTTTTTTCTTAACTTCAACCCATACTCAAAGACATAAAAATGAGCCATGACAAAGCAGGGCTCATTTGAAAGGCTAACCCAGAGATGCACAAATGCTTTTTTTCTGGGTACTGCTGGACAGCAATAGTGAGAGATGTTCTCAGCACATATTCTGGAAATATCTGTCTCTGTGCTGAAGTAGGTTCTGCTTTGAAGAGACTTCTACACCAGTAGTGGTGCACACACCCACAGTCTGAACAACCCTAAATGAGAATGATAACTGCAGTTATTTCTTATGATGGATAAAAAAAAAATGTTGCCTATTTAGCATATATTGTAGAAATTGGGATTTCAGATTTTACAGACCATCTATAATTAGAAATGCAAGCACTGTGCAATGTCTAATCACTTAAGAAATGACAAAAAGTTGTTTTTATGTGATTACTACTGAATAAACACCAATCTATGATTCTTAATTGATTTAATATTATGTATGTATTTTCTATGAAAGTAGGATTCTAGTGAAATCACTGCACTGGACTAAAACAATGTAAGCAGTATATTAAAGTCTTATTGTGATATTCCTTTTCCTTATTACCTTGCTCACCAACCATGTAATTCTAATGTCTCAGACCCCAGAGTCTTTAGTCTTACAGAACTTCTATCGACTTTAACTACACATTTGCCTGGAGGTGGACTTACTGGATAAGACCCATAAAGTGCTAAGAGAACAGGATTAAATTGCTAAAAGCATAAGTATTCCTAACTGGATTGTCTGCGACTGCAAGCAACCAGAAGATACTATCACATGGCAAACCAGGTACAAACTCCCAGATACAGCATTCATCTTCACATATTTTTCTCACTGACACTGGGACTCAGGGAGGTTCTTAGCTATTTAACTGCCAGACTGAAAACAGGATTTAGTTAGAGCAAATGTCTGAAACTCAGTCTGATAACTTGCACTAAGGCATCAGAAAAGATGCCTGGAAAATTTGGCAGGTATAACTTCAGCTTTTCCCACACCTAAGGATCTTTTCAATACTTGTATCAGACAGCTTATTAATAAGCATTGTGTTGGGTCTCAGTGGCTCTGGATTCAGGTTGTGGATTTTCCAAATTTTCCTTTGTATTCTTGGACAGCTGGTTTAAAAAGTCATCTTTATAAGTATTTTGTGGGTCTGAATGCCTTACATTCTCCCGTGCAGGGAATGTATTAATTGGTATTTAATTTTCAGTGGGATTGTGACGTTCAGGTTCCTTAGCAATTTCAATCATCTCACTCTTCACCTTGCAGTGACTCAGCCCTCTCACCTGATTATTTGTATTTCTTGATCTGTTTATTACAATATTTTTATTAATTGAGATTCTGGGGCAGTACCTCTCAAACTGGCCTTTATCCAAGCATAGAGACTTGGTCATTATATTTTAAGATATGACCAACTGTGCTTAGGTCACAAAATTGAGAGCATTTGACACCTCCTATGACTATGCAATGTTTTCTTGATGATCTTGAAGATCATTAAGACAGTCCAGTGGATTAAGGCTACAAGTGTCTGGCCGTTTCAGTACTTATCTGAGAGTCCTGCTTCCAGATGAGGGCTCACAACTTGTAAAGTAAGGTCAGAACACCGATCTTCATCTTCGCTGTCCACTGAACAAACTGTTTTTCTGTCTGGGCATAACAAAGCCTTATTAACTGGTCATTTAAAATGTGCCATGTTTTTGGCACTGCTTTCAGGTGCTACCAGTCCTGCTCTTCTTCCTGTGCTTTCCATGAAAGCCCACCCTAAATTTTAAGCTTCACTGTAAGGTCTACATCATGCTTTCCTAAGGAAAAGGACTTTCTTTGGTGGATTATGCTACAGTTCAATGCACATACTACCAAAGACAGATAGTTTTCATACCAGGAAAATAATCTGGATAAATTAATAAAGAACTAATATTTTACAGAAGAAAATGGGTATCTGCTGGTACTTTGAATGAATCCATCCATGTGGCTCACAGCAGCAACAGCAGACAGAGTAAGATGACATTTCTCATGCAGGATCTTTCCCTGCATGATGGGATCTTGAGCTAAATTTTTCTTCACCATGGCACTGAGTGGAGAATTCCTGTTTTTCTTCCTTTCCCTAGCCCCTCTTCCTGCAATTCTGCTGGAGTTTGGAGGTGAGAGTGGTCTCTTAGAGAGCAACTGAGAGAAAATCTGGAAAACCCTTGGGAAGAGTTCTAACCATTAGAAAAAGCTACAAAAATATGGAAGCATCTTTAGTTGTGACTGTGTTTGAGGTGACCACTTGCAAAAGCGAACTTGGAGCTGTGAATCCCAAGGGGCCAGAAATGTCATGCCTGAAGTTTAAGAATCAACTGCATTAAGTGTTTAAATTGCTGGCACAGAGTTAGGCAACCCAGGAGTGGCATTTTACTAATATTTGCTCACTGTTGCCTGCACAAGTGAAAAGGTATCAGCAAAAAGTGAGATATCTCTGAAACTGAACTTAGGAAGTGGATATCCGTACAAAATTGCTCTACAGCACTCCACCCCTTTATTCAAGTAAGCACCTGCCAAGTGCTGCGGATAAACTGAGTGGGAAAAGTGTGAAAGTGTACACATCATGGATTGTGACTGCCTTGTGGAGAATGGATGTGCAGCTGGACATCTACTCAGGGGATGATCTGTCCCTCTCTACAACACCCACCACTTGAGGTGAGCCTCTGGCTAAGAGGTGTTCTGAGCCTGTTCCCCTTGCTGCTGTGGGGAGCCCAGAGACCCCACAGGCCCTGGCCAAAGTACAGGGCAACTGTGCATGGGGAACATGCAAATGGTCTCATTCTCCAGGGGCAAAACCCCAACTCTGCTTCCCCAGAGGCAGCCTGTGCTATTAAATTGGCTCACATGTTAGTTAAGAGGATTTCAAGCCTCTGGACAATGGGACTTCTTCACATACATACAGTACTGGGGTCCCAGCTAGCTTCCTGCTCATCTTAGTGGTGCTACAGCTCCCAGGAACAAGCTGATGGTGTTAGTCCATCACCAAGCAGGAAGGATGGGCACACAGCTCAGCAAAGCATCCCTACCTCTGGGCTTAAAATACCTAGGAGATCTAAACTTTGCCTATTGCTTCATAGAATCACAGAATGTTTTGGCTTGGAAGGGACCTTAAAGTTCATCTAGTTCCACACCTCTTGCTGTGGGCAGAGATATCTTCCACTAGACCAGGTTACTCAAAGAACCATCCAACCTGGCTTTAAAGACTGCCAGGAATGGGGCATCCATCCACAGCTTCTCTGGGCAACCTGATCCAGTGCCTCATCAGCCTCACAGTAAAAATTTTTTTCCACATATCAAACCTAAATTTCCCATATTTCACTTTGAACCCATTATTCCTTGTCCTGTTGCTTCAGTTCCTTTTGAAGAGTCTCTCCACAGCTTTCTTGTGGGCCCTCCTAAGATTTTGGAAGGTTGCTATGAGGTCTCCATGCAGCCTTCTCTTATCCAGGCTGAACAGCGCCCACTTTCTCAGCCTGTCTTCATAGGGACGTGCTCCAGTCCCCTTCCCAACTTTGTGGGCCACCTCTGGTAACAACTTGTGCAAAATACTACTTGTACACACTGTAGCAAGTTTCTGGTTTGCTTTCTCCTGTTCAGTTTCTCTTGGCACTCAAACCTGAGCAAAGGGTAAGTTGGGACCCATATAGGAACCTGAGGTAAAGCCTGAATGCGCAGTTGAAGGGACAGGGACTTCAAAGAACTTTGGTACATGAATGGCAATTCCTTCACTCTTTTCAGCACAGAACTAAATCAAAGACAAGCTCTGAAGCCTGCTCTAGTGCCTGGTTAGTACAATGTACCCAGGAAAAAGAAAGTCCAAACTTCTGCTCATCGAAGCCCAGAGGGCTTTGCTGTGAATATGGCCTCATATATCTACCAGACAGCTGAATGTTTTCCATGGCATAATCTGCTTCTGTAAAGAAATGTAGGTGTCACATTTATCATCAGTGTTTTGATTGTGGGCCACAAAGAATACTTAAATACCATTTGGGCATTTCATATAAGAAGCAATTTCAGGAAGAAGGATGACCTTGTGCCACGGATCACAGAACTACGCCCCAGAGATGTGAATTCTCTGGCTAATCTATTCAAGTGTTAAACTTTTTTTGGTAAAGTACTTATTTGTAACAAGACATGCTAAATTCATCCAGTACAAGGCTACTTCTAAGCAAACTCAGGCATTAAAACATAGCCATATATCCTATTAACTAGCGTATCTCCCTGTTTAGTAAGGAAATGTCATCACATTTGTTACAAAGGCAAACAGCAACATACCAAAACAGGATCCAATTTTTCTAAATAAATAAATCAATGATGTGTCAAAAATTAACAGATGAGTTAATATACCCGATGTTATCAAAACCAGATGGTGCTTCATAATATTCATCCTGTTCAGTCAAACCCTGAATATATTCTGGACCATCAGTATATAAAATAGGATGCTGCTATTTGTGATGGCAAACAAAAGCAATCATGCCTGCCAAGCACATACTATAACAGGCAGCATTTCAGCTCTGCTAGACAGAAAGTAATTAGAATGCTTTTAATGTCCAAAAGAATGATGCTGATAGGCTGCCACAGATGTGTAGATTTATGAATATTTATATGGTGGTTTATAGCTGACACTTTTATCAGTTGAAGAAGATAAAATATCTGCCTGACTCAAAAGCTTGACAGTCAGGTTAATAAAATCTCATTAAAGAGAATGACCTATGCAATTATATAGGATTTATTGTAATTCATTTTTGATTGTACTCTGCTTAAAGATGCAATTTCCCATTTCCTGATGCCAAATTTAGGTTGCATATCAAGATCTACGTGGTTTTTTAACTCCAAGCCATCACTAGAGGAAAGATATGCATTCAGCGTCTCAGTATCTTACACCTTAGAAGAAAAAAAAAAAAAAAAAAAATTTGATCTCCTGTTTGTCGCTGCATCTTATGAAAACGGTGCAGGCAAGCAGCCGATCTATTTTCTTTCTGTTAAAATCATCACCTCTCTATCAGCAGCCTCTCCATCACCAGCAGCTCCTCTGGTAGCCGGCCCCAGCCTGCCGCCCTCCCTGGCGGAGCGGAGCGGGGCTGAGCGGAGCGGAGCGGCCGGCCCGGGGCTCCCCCCGTCCGCCCCCGCCGGCAGCAGCTCCATCCCTCCCTCCCTCCCTCCCTCCCTCCCGCAGGTGCGCACCGGCCGGCGGCGCCTGCCCCGCCAAGTCTTGCGCGGCTGTCGGCACGGCCCCCGCCGCGACCCCTGCCCACCGCCCCGGGGCGACGCCGGCCGGGCAGCGGCCCCGCCCGCCGCGGGAACTTCAGCGACGCCCGAGCAGCGGACGGACCCAGCCGCCCGCCCCGTCCCCGCCGCGTCCAGCCCCGAGCGGGGGCACCCGGCGGGCGTCGCGCCCTTCGCCGGCCGCCCGGGAGAGGGGTGCGCGTGTGGGCGGCGGAGCCGCAGCCCCCATCCCGCTGCCGCCTGCTGCGAAGTGCCCCGCGAAGTTGCGCGGAGGAGAGAGAGGAGTTGCGGGTACCTGCGCTCAGCTCCGCGCCGCCGCCCCCCGCCACCGCCGGGCAGGGGCCGTAGCGGCCCGAGGAGCTCGGTGCCGGCGGCGGCGGGCGGGGGTGGCCCTGGGCAGCGCCGGGGGCAGCGCCGGGGCGGGCGGGCCCGTTGGGGAAGGGGCCGTGCGGCGCGTAGGGCAGCGGCTCGGCGGCGTGCGGGAAGGGCTGCCCCGCTCCGCGCCCGCGGGGCACCTCCACCATGGTGGGTCTCTCATAGCGCTTGGCCAGCGTCGTCCGCTTCCCGGGGAAGGTCTTCAGGACGCTGTAGGGACCCCGCTGCTTGTAGATTTTGGGGGTGCTGGGCCCCTCCTCCGCCGGCTGCATCTCCTCCTCCATCCTCCGCCGCCTCCCCCGGCGCGGCGCGGCGCGGCCCCGCTCCGGGGCTGTGTCTGCCGCCGCCGCGCTCGTCTCTGTGGCACGGCGGAGCCCCGGCGCGGCGGGGCGCCGGCCTGATTGACAGGCGGTCGCGCCAATGCCTGGAGGGAGACGGGCGGCGACCGGCGAGTGTTTAGGGTAATCTCTGCTAATGGCAGCGGGGCGGGGAGGCGGGCGCTGGCGGGGCCGCCGCCGCCCCCGGCACCCCCGGCGGGGGCAGGTGAGCTGCCGGGCGGGGGGCGAGCGGCTCCGGGGCCCCGCCGCCTCCGCCCGGCCCGAGGGGGGCCGCGGGCTTACGAGACCGGCCCGCCCCGCCGAGCGACGGCCGCCGCCAAAACTTTGTGTCCCCTCGGCCAGGCGCGGAGCCCCGCCGGCCATCCCTCCCGCTCTCCCTCCCCTCCTCTCTCCGCACGGAGGGAGCCGCTGGCCCGCCTCCCCGGTTATTAGGGGTGAAATAAATAATGCCATAAATAAAAGTATTTGGGAGTCCAGGACCTGTCAGAGTTGATTAGGGCACAGAGGACATTTTCTTTCTCATTATGCAAAAGCATTTCATGGCGAAATAAAAGAGGTTTCGCTGTAACTCATGCATGTCAGATTTCCAGGAATCCGGGAGATTAATCACGTTTAACATTATTTGCAACGCCCCTCGCCCGCTTTTTGCAAACTGCTTAAATGCGGCGGACGCGTGGGGCGCAGGCTGGTCCCGTGTCCCCTGCTCACTTTCCCCCTGTCGCCTGCCCGGGCCATTTCAGGGACAGTTAAGAAATAATGAAGCGATGGTGAAAGACAGGAGGAGAATGAGATGCCAAAGACGTTTCTGAGAAATGGTGGAGATCTGGGTGAGATGGGAGACAGCTGAAACTGAATGATATGTTGAAGAAAAATAAACGATAACAAAACTGCTCGCTTGCTCTCTCCATTCTTTTCTGCTAAGCAATTTAATATTTTGCATTACCATTTCCCTTCTTCTGTCCCACTTCTCACCTGCTTCTGTTACTATTTATCAGGATTACAATAAACCCTCTGGCTTGTGGAAGTAAAATTGCAGAACACCTTAGCTGTATTAAACATCGGCAGTGGGAAATCATTCCTCTCAGCACGTGTAGTTTTGGCCACTTATTGTGGTCATCGCTCTCCCATTTCAGCTTTTTTTATTTAGTCAGAATTGGACTCACTGGTAATGAAATGCAACCCTTCTCTGCTGATGGTAATTAACTCCTGCAATCTTCAGCCCATCTACTGCAGAAAAGTGGAGTTAAGTTCTGCAAGCCATGCATTCTTTTCGTGCAGAGTGTACCAGGAGCTGGGCTGGCTTTGGTTTTGATTTTTATGACAAGTAGAGTAAATCGATTCCTTGTAGCAGCCAAAAGCATCAAGTAAAGGCTAGTGTGATAGAAATCACTGCTTTACCTAAGCAAAATCAATCATAAGTCTCTTTGTTTCCTGCCTGAGTCTGATCACTTGTGCTTAAAAAAAAAAAAAAAGAAAAAAAGAAAAGAAAATTGTACTGTAATGCAAAATAAAGGCTGGAAATATTTGTGAAAGAAACTGTTCCACTCAGAAATTAAATATGTCCTCTAACTTGTCTTGTCTGACTGGCCTCTACCGCAGCAGCTATTGGAGGTCAGTACTAAAATTGTATAAGGTTTATATTAAGCTCCTAAAAGATAGACTCAAATAAACAGCCTAAAATTACTTTCTCAGGTGTCAACGACATTCATAGAGTTCACTACTCTTTGGTGTAGGTGCCTATGCCTGAGCTCCTTGGGGAAGAAACAATCCTTGCCTAAAAGGAACCTCACAGAGACAGAGAAAACCAGGGGTGACAGGTCGTGTCCTCCAAGCTGCCCTCTCTCTCGGGGTCCAGGCTGATCATTGGGCAGATGCTGGCTCTCCATGGACAGGAAGAGAGAAGCAGCTTTGCAGTTAATGGGGCTCAAAGCCACTGAAATGATGTGGGGACCTCATCTGTGAGGAAAATGGAATATACACTGAATTTCTTTTTGCTGAGGTTTTTGGTGCCCATCACCACCAAAATATCACTTCAGTTGCTTTTAGGAAAGCTTGGCGTTTCTCCTAGTTTGCTCTCAGCGATTCTTTTGGGTATGTATACCTAAAAGATCTGTTGATGTCTCCTCGCCTTTCCTTTTATGTTTTCCCCTGAGTTTCAGATTAGGGACTCTGGTGTTGTGGCCAAAAGACTGTTCTGTGCCTAATCTGATGTGTTCCTGCGGGTCAGTCCTGTGATACAAAGTGTTTAACCCCAGTGGTTCCACCTTTTCCCTTGTGGAATGCCCTTTTATAAGGAAACCCCATTTTACTCCTGAGCTCTGTACAGGTGTGCAGCCACTTTTGCAGGAGGACTCTGCCTTTGGAGTGGAGGAGCGTGGCCCTAGACTGGCGGAGAGGCAGTCTGGGTGAAGTGATGGTCTTCAAGCATGGGAAGGTGCCGCTGTATCTAACTGTGAGTGGTTTTGGGCTGCCCTTTTCCATGGCTGCTCCCGGGGGCACAGCCTACTGCTCCCCTCTGGTCTCAGCATGTAGTAATGAAATTATTATTAACCAAACATTTAACTCTGAATTACAGATCCGGATTGGTTGCACACTGGATGAAAACAGTTAACACATAGCGTTTACCTTGCTCAACTAAAAAAAAAAAAAAACCTTAGCTGATACCTCCATCTCATTTTCAGAAAGCCAAACACCTTCATTTCCCTTAGACTGTGCCATGACTTGGGATTTGACCCTGAAGAGAAGGTTGTGTCTTTCCCTACCTGTTTAGTGATTCAAGTTTTCACTGTTTCACTGACACTAAGGGCTGGAGATCTGTAACAGGATTATTGCAGAGCACTCTAAGTAGAAAAATGATGGGAAGTAACTGGCCCTCAGTAAAAAACCTAATCAAAACAAAGGCAACAGGCACAATGAAAAAGAAGAAACCCAACATTGCTGCAGTATACACTCCTCTGCTCCTAGAAATCATAGCACAGAGAATATTTGTCAGTATATAGAAAAATACCCAATCTAGACACAGGCCATCAATCACTGAACATGTCTGTGTTGAAGGTACTGTGAGGTACTCAAAGAATAAAAGTGTGATTCATCCCTATCTTCTGAGCAGGGGCTAAATCTTGCTCCACTTATTCATGGGAGTAGTGCTCCTGTGATAGCTAAAGCAAGCAGGATTTGGCCATGAACTGCCAATATTGCTCTGCACATTTGGAGTGTATGATGAGAGCTGAGATTGGCAACTCTCCTCTGTAATCTAAACCACTCTGCAGGCAGGCTAGCCATAATTTGCTGCCCTAAACATTTAACCCTGGCTAGTTAATTTAAGCTTAGCTCAGTTGCTCATGTTTATGGATAAAGAAACAAAAGGGAAAGCATCAAAAGGAAAAGATGACTGTGGAATTCAATATTTCGGCAGCTGTTGATAGGTAAATCTTATTGAAGTGTAGCATTCAAAACCAAAGGCCCGCATTTATGATAATGAGCCTAACAAGGAAATGAGATTGACACAGCAATTCTCTGTTTTTGTTGTCCCCTGAGGTTAGAGATTATGCAGTGCACGGTGCTGTTTTTAGCCTCTTTGGTGATTCCAACTGTGAGAGACAACGCTGTGCATATTTGTCAAGGTTGCACTTTAATCAGGTGACTCAGGAGCTTTTTGAGGGAGAATATGAACTGCTGGTCTCACTTAAACCTTAATCCACATCCTATGTCAGAGATTCATCAGCCAAGCAGTGCAGCTTTTAGCCCCTTGTTTTCCCTTATGCTTACTCAGTGCTCTGAGAACATGCTTTGAAATAATTGAAATGTATCTATCATGGTTACATTGTATTTTGAGAATTACTGGAATGTTTCTCAGTGACATTAATTGGTTTTAAAATATTTTTGTCTTTCTAATTAGTAAAAGATTGATGAGCAGTGGAAAGGGCATTTATACACAGGCAGACACATATTTCCATGCTGCATTTGTGTCTTAATAAAATGGTTGCTAACTGGTTTTTATGCCTAGTAAACACTGGAAAGATAGAAAATATCCTATAACTTTAGAAGGAGGAAATATTCTCTGTTTTAAATGGGATCACATGGTGTAAAAGAGACCCCAAGTCTCCCCGAGGGCTGGAAAATGGATAAATGAATTATTTAAATATAGTTAAAGGATACACAGAAAAAAGTAATGGTTCTGATACCCAATGTAGGGAAAATTATTAATATTTTAAGGAATCAATTGTGGACACATGAAAAAGCTTGTTTTAATTAAAGATAGCTTACAAAAAGCAGTTTCAAGCAGGGAGAAACAGTATAGGATACTTGTTGCTGAGCATTTTGTAGAAATACATAATGAATAAAACGAATGACATAACACAATCCAAACTTCCATCTGCCCTAAAAAATCTTCACTGTCTGTGTTGGAGCATTTTAGAATAGCTCCACCTCTCTGGAGCATTAGCTCTTTCCCTAGCCCTTGCCCAAGCTTGCCGGTGCTTCCTCTCTGTCTTGGCCATCACCGTATAAGGTAGAGTTGCTCTGTATTGCATAGCTGCTCTTTGCAATGCTTAGTCCTCATTTTGCACACTTGGCATTTTGAGACCAGCATCTTGAGAGGTCTGATAGCCGTGCACCTAAAGGCAGAGCTGGTGTTCCACAGGCTGGGACCCAGATCTTGACTAAACCTGAGTGCCTCTCACTGGTCCTGTTAGTTCCTGCCCTTCATGTACTTTTCAATCTCTGTTGCCCAGGCTTGCAAAAAGGTGGTCCTTGCTGGTCAGAAGTCACACTGAGCTAGAACTCAGAGTAGAAAACACTGATTTCCCCAAGCAGAGACTTCACTGATATTTTGCACTGAAGTGTTACCCTTGGGCCCTGCACTCACACAACTTGGTAGCTGTTCAAAAATGCGGTCAAATTTTGTCAAGCAAGCTGTGCACATCAGTTACAATGAAAACCCAGATGGGATGGACAGAGGAAAACAGCTGGAAGCAGAATCTTCCTTAAACTGATCAAGATGGGGCACCTGACTGTAGTTTAAGCACAACAGGATACACATGATCAGC